TATTTATTTATTTATTTATTTATTTATTTATGCATTTATTCATGCTTACATTTCAACATAAATTTTTTACAATCAGTTTTTGAGTAAAGTAAAATGTTTGCTTTCAGAAAAAAAAATTTTTGACTAGCGAAGGTCACTGCCACTCATCATCGGATCACATCAATTTCATGATTACATTTATGGCAAGCAAAAACCAATAACCTGTTTTTGATGGTATGTGTGCGGATAGTTATAACGAATGTTTTTACCAATATTAACGAGAATTTCAAAAATTTTCAAACGTAAACTCACTTACTTACTCACTTACTTATTCCCATTCTTTGCAGCTAAAAGCAAGGAGCTGTTTATAAAATGACATGCTTAAACCAAACTGTAAAAGAATTCATGATGAGTGAGAATAGAAGAATAATTGTTTTCATTTATCTATTACCAATGTGTTACTGAGTACATTGCAGTTATATGTTTCAGTCCTTATTTTACATACGCAATTTATATGAATTTAAATTAAGAGGATTAATTTTAGCATAATTATGAATTTTGCTATTGTCATCATCACTAACGTCATATATTTCTTTCAGAAAGAAAACATCATTGTTTTTCATTTCATGAATTTGGTATTGATTACAATATAATTATATTTCACATAGTGATAATAAGACGCAATAATGTATGCTGATCGAAAAAACAGAATTTACATTTAAATGTCATCAACTGAACATAAATTTTGCAAATTCATTTATAAAATTTAAGAAATAGGAGCTGAAATAGAGATAAAAATCAATTTTGTAATCATTTATGTATTTACTAGCAAAGCTGTTTTCAGAAAATTTTTCATCTTTAAAGTGATATATTGTAGTAAATGTTTTGAAAAGAGCTGCAGTGCCATCGTTTACAAAATCCGTATTTATGTCCATTATTTTGCGCTAAGTACGGTAGAAAGGAAAATGATTTTCCAAATTCTAATTATCTCAAAATCTGAAAGTCTATCTTAGTTTGAAAAATTTGAAAATACATTATTATTTTTCAGCAAAGTGTGTGCAAAGGACAAAAATAAATTCATGTTGTGAAAGAAAAAGATGTTTCAAAATTTCTACATTTTTTAAATCACTATATCAATTTAATAAATAATTTATTGCCATCAAATTTTTTTGGGAAATAGTATCAAAACTTTTAGTAACTCAAATGTTTCAGTTGATAAACCACAATTGAAATAAATGCTTATCATTTTGGTTATCGAGTATTTGAAACTGCCATCCATATTTAACATAGCATGACAAACTCTAACAAACAAATTATTTTCGTAAAATGCAGAAAAAAATGTGATATACTTTAAAAAATGCTAAATTATAAAGTTATTAAGTATCTTGAAATAGTATAATTAAAAGACAAGCGCATGTGAAATATTAGCATTTAAAATGCATCAAGTAAACAACATGTATGGTGTGATTGTACTCTGTAATATGCCAATTTTAATTTCTACCTTTTCTTGTTCAGTCCTTTAAAAAATATCATTTCTTAAACACACTGCATCTTTTTGTCTTCTAGTCAATTAATCAGAGCATATTTAATTTAATCATTAACTTAATATGAAAGATTGAGCACAAATAGCACTCACTAACTATTAAAGTAAATAATGACGGGAAACAAATATATTATTTTGGAACAATATAGATAAAAATATTTAAAATAGATGTCAATAAAAACAAAAAATAATAAACTTGATCTATTTAAATATATGTCTTCAAAATTTAGTTCATAAACAATGAGGAAATGATTAAATAGTGGTATATCCATTGATAATATTAATATAAAAACTTGATGTAATTTGTTATTTTCACCGTAATATTGATTATCCATTATTAAATTAATGCTTTAAATTGCTCATCTGATAACAAACTAAAGTTATGATACCAGTAATAATTTTAAGACACTTGAATAAGTAAATGTAGCAAATTCATACAAATAATACAAAATTAATCTGAACACTCTTTCTGAATAGCAATTACATCATTCTAATACCTGTTATTTGTAGATTATTTTCTTGTGCATATTTTCATTTCAGTATGTGTGTTAAAACTTCAGCATTAAAATCCCGAAGTATATATTTTATAATAAATTGAAATTCTGAATTATTAATTAGTATTGTAAAATCTTGTGCCTTTCATGATTTTATGATAAAGATGGTAAAAATTACAATAGAATTAAATTAATTAAGTGGTAGTAAAAGTGTAACCTTGAAAAATTGCACCACATGTGTTGCAGGCCAACTGGCAATTAATACTCATCCAATCCGGATTTGCTGTACATTCTCCAATTGATGCCCAAAAACGACACCATTCATGCTCATCACAGCAACCATTTCGTAAACATCTAAATTTGCTAGTCCGAGGCGGTGATAATTGTGCTATTACTTCTGAAACAGTCAAACCATATTAATAACATAATAATTTAACTTTTACTCTTCATGCTGTTTGTAATTAATGAATGATAACCGGAAGTGAAAACAATAAAAAAAATTCCTTTTACAATTTAGCTACCAACTTAATCAACTTTATTAGATTATTGATCGAGCGAAATAATTACTTTTAAGTAATGAACATGAATTGATTAAAACTAAAAAAGTTGCAAGATTTATTTATTATTTAATTTTGATATTGAATTCTAGATTGATGATTTTTAGAACAATAACCACTTTTTGGATTATTGAAATAAATGAGTAGGAAAGAAAGTAAAAATTAGTTTCTTGTTTAGTTTTTTCCACACTATTAATAATTAATGATACTTTTTAACTGCTGCCTCTTATTCTAAAACACTCAAAACAATTTGTTTCAGATTCAAACAGCAAATTTTAAAGTAATTCGAGAAAATATTTTCTCTCTTTTGTACGTTATTTTGAAGCTCCTAGGAAAAAAATTTTTTTAAATAAAAATTTTCGATTTCATCAATTTATCAAACTTTTTGACTTTGAACAAACAAATACTTTTGAACTATTTTAGAATGTTTCCTTTATTAAGTAACTGTAAAGAATGAAAGCACTGAAGAAAGTTCCACAAAGTGAATAAGTGATGAATGTTGCTGCGAATTACCAAATTTTGTATTATATAGTATCATTTCTCATTTGTTCCATTTTTAACATCTATTTCTTATCATTTCAATGTACTAATACTTGCGATACTTACATAATCGCCTTAGATGAAATGAAATTTTTTTAATTTCTCATAAAAAAAGTTTTATAAAGATACAGAAATGGAAACGATCTGAATTAAACTTGAAATGTGTACTTGAACAATATATATTCATTACGGATGAAAAATTTTGTCTTCAAGTTTTTTTTTCTTTATTCAAAATAATAGCTGATTTTAGAAAGCCTGCTTTTTTTATTTGATTTAGATTAATTTTTTTAACTCACTGAAGGCTTTCTGAAGGTACTATCCATGATAATATTTTCAGCAAACTTTTAGAATAGAAAGCATGAGTAACTTGGCCAAATTCGAAAAAGAGTGTGAAAGAAAAAAAAATCAAGTTTGACTCTCTAGAGCTTTTTGCAATTCACTTTTTGGGCCTAGCTCGTAATTTTTTTAGAGGCACGGATAAATATGAATGAAAGGGAATAACACTGATAAGGTTATATTTTCTTGAAAAAGCATACCAAAAATTTTTTTAATGAAAGTTTAATAGGAATGTTATGTAACTACTGAAGAATATAAAACGAGTTTTAAAAATAGAATAATAAATGCGCTTCATAGCTCTACATTTCATGCCTGAGACAGCAGAATTTGAAATAGAACTGATTTTGCATTTTGTTATTCGGCCAAAAACAGTTTTTATCAAAACTTCACTAGTAAGCAATTTATACCTGCCTATTCAGTGCCACGACCAAGTTTTCAGCAAAACTCTAATCTATTACTTTACGGACATCAAATAATTTGACAAACCTTTCTCTTAATCCCGAACATTAATTATTAGACAGATTACAAAAAGGAAGCGTTTCAAAAACTGGAAACTTTGAGAGTTTGGAAATAAATCCCATTTCCAGACATCAAAAAATACATTAAAATCATTTTAATTCGCTTAATTTTTTTATTGCACTGCAAAAATAATTATTCTATGAAAAGATGAATAATAAAATAATTGAGATCATTTTTTGAAATCATTGCTTCACAGCAAGCTTTTTGTTGATTTTAAAAAAAATCGGTAAAAAGTTGAAATGAAAACGAACCAGACAAAAATAGCCAATTTATTAACTGGAATGAAAATGATCGAATAGTAGCCATCGTTTTGATCGTCTTGTTCTTCGAAAAGATTAAAAAGTGAATGTACGCCAGAAATCAAAAATGAAGATCAGAAAAATCAGAAAAAGAATTATTTGTTGAAATTACCAAATACAATATCACACCGGCAATATCTAGATCCAGAATATTTCTTATCAAATAGAGGTGGTAAGAAAAAATAATGTTAGTTACTGTGATTAAGCTTTATTTCTTAGCAACAAATTTGAAGCGCTGAAACAAAGTAATGTAATCATTTAACCGGTCTATTTCCTGTTATTGCTAACAGGCAATTCTGCTTACGAAAAAGATGCAAGAATTGCGATTAAAATTTGAAAATAAAATTTTAAATTTCCTAATCAAAAATATTTTGTGACTGTATATAACACAGTTAATAATAAATACATTGGTAACGACAAGATAAAATGATAAAACAATGAAAAATGAGGTTGATTTTTACCTGTCATTTCAACAACAGAAGAACGTAACAACTATGGTTAATAAATTTTCATGGGTAATAAATACTGAGAATACATTCGCGCACTTCCTATCATGACGTAATCGGCTAAATAGAAGTAGATCAATTAAATGATGCTTGATGAGTTTAATCGAATAATTAATCATACTATCAAAAAATAAATAAGATGATGATTACTGTCTTATCAAAAATTGATTTGCTGCCCTTATTAGTAGTCTAGTAAAAAATTTGATAATATAATCGGCGAAAGTCATCCATGCTATCAAACTAATACTAACTTTCAACAAAAGTCTAGAATTAAGAAAATAATTAATTTTGCATGTTTATCAGTGCTTTCGA